TTGTAAAGCTCGTTTTTGACATGACACTTGTACTTCTCATTGTTGCAACAGGTCCACCTGAATCCTTAAACGACTTGTTTTTCCCCATCTCCTCCACAAGTTATACTGACATCAAATATAGTGAAAGCAGGGGTTATACTGTGGGGGAGGGACATACAAAGCAACAAAGAGATAATCTTATAAATGCGTTAGAAACACATGCATGAAAGAAAAAAACATTAAAATACATATATAAGAGTTCATTTTCCTAACATCACATTATCTGACCTTTTCCGCTTGACTCATACATATACTAGATATTGCAAATAAGGGAAACCATGGGACCTGTATTTCTTTGGGCCTGGCTTACTTCACTTAATATAATTTTTTCCAAGTTTTTCCATTTCCTAACAAATGGGGCAATGCCATTCTTTCTGATGGAGGCATAGAATTCCATTGTGTATATATACCACATTTTCTTGATCCATTCATCTACTGAGGGGCATCTGGGTTGGTTCCATATCTTAGCTATGGTAAATAATGCTGCAATAAACATAGTTGTGCATCACTATTTTTATCATCCGTTTCAGAAGTAGAACAAGCAGATCATGGTTTGATGATCGAGCTAAGTCTTAAGAAACACAAAGGGACAACATCACTAGTGGGCTGTACTTACATGAACTTTGATGGTACCATATGGTCTATTCTGGTCATTGCTCGTGACATTTTGAAACCTCAAAGTAGATGGTGTGCAGCAGAAGGAACACGACTTTGTATTTGTGTGAGTAAATTGCTTTTATTTGTATGTGCCCAATGTGAGGTGCTGGATCATTGAGTGAGCAGTGTGGAAATTATTTCTGACAATTGAAGATTTGGTGTGTTGCCATTAAAACACAGGCAATAATTGAAATCTTCAGATGGATAAAATTGTAGAAGGAAAGCAGAGAAAAGGAGGAAAAGGGACATTCTTGTAGATTACAGAGTTAAGGATTTTTAAAGAATCTGTGTCTTAGGTTTTTTTTTTTTAACCTTACTTAGGGCCAAACATAAAATAGTTAACAGTGTTTTGATAGTGGGATTTGACAATAGAATACGTTTCTCTGTCTTGATGTTTCCCAGAAAACCTCTACATCAGTAGGGTGGGATTCAATTTTAATTTTCTCTACAGATTTGGAAGTCAGAAGGGCAACTCTACTGTGGGCTGGGATTGAGTTCAAGTCTCCTCCACGGTGTGTCTCAACCAAAGAGTTGATTAACAGAGCAAGGCCAACCTGCCTTGATCAGGCTCAGTGGACACTTAAGGGATGGGAAGAGTGGCAGGTTATTTCCCTGGAGAGGCTCCTGGGGCAGACAGTGTGGGCTGTGTGCGAAGGCTGGTTGGCTCCCAAGCTCCTCTGGGAGGAGAGACCCTGTGAGCAGATGGAGACCCATGGAGTATGTCTTGAGAGCAAATAACTTCAAGGGCACATAGAGGACCCAGATGTTCTACAGGATGAATCCAGACAGATTGATTTAACATGAAGACACAGAGTTCATTACACAGGGAATGAGAACAATGACCCATGCTAAGGGGATCTGAAAGGCAACGTGAACTTAAAACTAAAGGCTAAGTCTGGGGCCTAAAGCTTTGGTTCTAAGTGGGGCAGGGGTAGCTCATGCCTGCAATCCTAGCCACTCAAGGCCTGAGATTGTAGGATCTAATGCTAATGGGGAGTGCCCAGGCCCCGAGTTCAAATCCCAGTACTAGTACATGCAAAAATAAAAATAAGCTTTGTTCTAGGTGCTTTGTTCCTACTGGGGTACATTTCCGAAGATCATAAATGCTCCTGTGAGCTCAGGCAGGACACAGTGGAGGAAAGCCGGGCCCTGGAGGTGAAAACGGGCCCACCTGCCTCCTTTCCCTAACCTTTCAATCCCCTTGAGCTGGAAGAGCCATTAAGGCAGCAGTTAGGGCCACAAGCTGGGCAGGCAGGAGCTGCCTTAATGTAGACTATCCAGGCTTTGAGATGCTGTTCATCTCGTGGAGGGGACAGCGCCCCGCAGGGCAGACTGCCTGACTGCTCATCTCTGGTTCTCTGGAAGTGATGAAAAGTTACAGCAGTCTTTCTCCACTAAGTGCTTGACTTTTATTGCTGGTGTCTTTTCTTAAAATCAATCCGTTTCACTCGGGGGTTGCTTGCTTTTGAACATGCCCATTTATGTACTCGAGGCATTGGGAACAAAGCCACTCCCTTCCTTGGCCAGTTTTTCTCCTCCCTTTCCATCCTTTCCACCCCAATCTCAGCAAGCTGCATTCTTTGTATTTGACCGAAGATTTTCTTCATGGAAAACTTTCTTTTTCGTGTTCCTAGTCTGCTATCTTTGAAGAGGACTGGACTGTGGTCAGGTTTCTCTACTCCTAATAAAAATCCCACAGCTCTGTTTCTGGTCAGCATAGCCGGCTTTGGCCTGCTGCATGGCATCTCTAAGCTGTAGATGCTTAGGTGTGAAGTGTGTGTGTGTGGGGGGGGGGAGGGCAGTGGTCATACAAGTCCTTTACCCACAGGACTCTGGTGAGAATGAAATAAGTCTGATAGACCTAGAGAGACAAAGGAGACATGTTTTCTCTCAGATGTGGAACCTAGAATTAATTTACAAATATCTGAGTAAAGAGCTCAGGGTGGCATCTGAGCGAATATTAAGTGAACTATGGTGTAATTCCCTAGAGAGGCGAACTCACAATCCAACAAAATAAACACCAGGGAAAGTAGTAGGATCCAGGAGAGGGGAGTAGATGAATGGTAAGAGGAATGGGGCCAGAATACAGTCATAAAATTCAACGTACATTGTATAAAATTGAGAAAATTGAGGGAAGGACTGGGGTTTGCAAGGATGAGAATAATGATGGAAGAGGTGAGACTGATCAAGACCCATTGTGTTCGTAAACTGTTCTGTTGAATGGTAACTACTTAATTTAAAAAATATCATATGCACACAGCTATTGAGCTACTGTGATCTTCTGCTAAGAATATCCTAAACATTCTAGTTATTACAAGTGAGGGAAACCATGCAGCCTCATTTTCTTTAGGTCCAGCTTACTTTGCTTAATATAATTTTTCCAAGTCTTTCCGTTTCTCATGAATAGGGCAATGCCATTCTTTCTAATGGAGGCATAGAATTCCATAATTCTCTTAACCCATTCATCTACTGAGGGGCATTTGACCATATAAAGTGATGCTTATTGAAATGACCTCCAAGAAATGGAAACAAGAAGTTTTACTAGAGTACTATTTGCAGTTATTTCTTTTTTCTTTCTCCCCACCCCACTTTGGTTTATTCCCTGTTGTCACTTTTTTATTTCTGTACCCTTTTGTCTTGTATATCAGTTTATATGATTTGGAATCATAGCAACAGAGAAAAAATGGGTGAGCCAGTGCAACAGTGAGAGTCACTAGACACTATGTTTGAAATGAACTTTACAACTTGAGGGAGAAGGGAGTTTTGGGGGATAGGAGAAAATAAAGGAGAGGTTAACACTTTTCAAAAAAAATGTACACATTACCTCATATAATGTAATCCATCTGTACATCACCTTTACAATAAAACCCTTTGTATATAAGTCAAATATTTGTTATCTTACTTGTTTTTTCAGGTAATGGTCTCTTTTCATAGAAATGGAGCCCCTTCAAAGATGGGTCAATGAGGTTTTTTCATTTTTATATTTCAAGTACTTAATTATCTATACTTCATCCCTGAATTACATCAGCTAGGTGTGATCAATCATTATCTCAGGCTGAGATTTCAAGAACTAAGTGGTAAGAGTCAGCAAGGAATCATCAGGATTTCACAAATCTGTTTCCTCTCCACTGTAGAACCTTGAGATCCCAACTGTGCAACTTTCTCTTATTTGAAAAGAAATTTCTCTCTAGATAGAAATTCTAAAGCTAAATCCAGTCACTCCCCATTTCAGTGGCAGATTTGTCATGCTATCTTAATGCATACACACTCACATTAGCTCTGACAAGGCTTTGCAGCCTTTGGACCCCACCTAACAGATAATCACATGCCTTGTAGACCAAACAACAAAATGACTCAATGAGTTAAAGTCATTCAATTGTTTTAAAACCATAAACAATTGATGGTGTTGTTTCTCAAGCTGCTTTGCTGTTTTAAATATGATATTGAGTCCGTTTTAAAAAAAAAAAAGTTAAACCAAGGCTGCTCTGTAAAAACTAAAATCTGAGCCAAGCACTGGTGGTGCATGCTTGTAATCCTAACTACTGAGGAGGCCAAGATCTGAGGGTCACGGTTCAAAGCCAGGTCATGCAAGAAAGTCTCTTATCTCCAATAAACCACCAGAAAACCAGAAGTAGCACTGTGGCTCAAGTGATAGAGCTCTCACATTGAGCTGAAGAGCTGAGGAACAGCGCCCAGGTCCAGAGTTCAAGCCCCATGACCAACAACAAAAAATTAAATCTGTTGGCAATTTGAGACTAGATCCCAATAGCTATTTCACCAGTTAACATATTAAGTTAGCATTTTGTGAATGTCATGATTATGAATCACATAAAAAGAAAATAAAATCTAACAAATCTTACCTAGGCACTGGTGGTTCAGGCCTTTGCCCAGCTACTCAGGAAGCTGGAATCTGAGGACTGAAGTTCAAAGCCAGACTGGGCAGATAAATCTGAGAGAAACCACCATTGACAATTAACCAGCAAAAAGCCAGAAGTGGCTCAAGTAATAGAGTGACAGTCTTGAGTAGAAAGGCCAAGTGACAGCACAAGGCTGTAAGTTTTATTTCTAGCATATTAGTTTGAGAAACTGATCCCAAAATGTTATTCCTTAAGATTGTGCTTAACATGATTAGGGTAGATGCCTTGCCTGTTGGTGTTAAGTTGGCCTTTGGAAGGAAAGGTTCTATACGCTAGTTATAGTTAAGAGTCCAGAAGGAAAAGACGCAAACAGGAACCAGAAGCTCGGATGAGAGGCACACAAGTATTACTTCAATATGTCACATAACTTCAAATGATTTGGCAGACAGTTCTCTCCTTTATTAGCACATTCAAACAGTAGCAGAAAAACAACCTTCATTTGATTCTTACTGAGATTTATTGTTTTTTTTTAATAATGCCACTTTTCAGAAGTATAATCATGTGCTCACTTAAGACAGGCTGACAGAGTGAAAAACTTGTTTGTGATGCAAAGTACCTTTTAGGCCGGAGAAGAAGACATAGAGAGTGCAGTGACAAGTCATGTCTCCAAGGCTAGCAAGCACACAATGAGCCCCAGCCTCCCCTGGCCATAATCTGGCTCCCATTTTTGCACCATCGAATCCACAATGGAAATCTGGCCAGACATAGAACACAGATGGCTACTATCAGACATGAAAAGTAAAATTTATTAAACATGTTTACATCCATGAGTTGGGAGTTCATTTTAAAAGCACAGGGGTTGGAGAAGAGTGTTAAGACAAGTGGTCAGAATAGAAAGATGCTACCCCAATTCTATAGTCAGTTGATTGTTGGCCACTAAGACAGAACGGAATCTAGGACAAGTGCACCAATGCTTCAGCTCTCCCTGCTCGGCATGGTGAGCAGTGGTCAATCTGTGCCCCGTGGAATGATGGGCAGATAAAATTCTGGCATGTGGAAATAATAAATAATAATTTACTTGGTGCAGGCAGTATGTCTATGGATTAAAACCTAGTGTGGACACAGTGTCTACTTGTGTTACAGTCCCACGAAAGGAATCTACACCAAAATATTCATTAGAAGGAATTTGGTCCATACTACATCACATTTTCCAGAGGGTTTAAAAAATAAAGTCCATCTATAGACATTTCAGCCCAGACCCCTAAGAGGTGGAGTCTAGTTAAAACTTGCAAAATGTCTATAACAAAAATGGATGGCTTAGATTTCTTGGTTATTTTCAATAGAGTAATTAACAAGCAAACTGTACATACATGCAACAGACAAGCCTATGTGAAACTAACATACATTGTTAAATAACCTTTTGTTTCTTTGCTTTTTTTTTCATTTTTTTTTTTACAAAATGTGCATGCAGCTTTGAACAGTTCCAAGTCATGCTGCTCTATTTTGTGTAATCACAAAAGTTGAATGACTCATAAAAGGAGAGAGAACGGACTGATACACCTGTGTGTCTGAAGTTTGTTGCATGGTTACACAAAGGGATATTCAAGGTCAGGGAAAACTCAAAATGAAGAAAATGCAAATGAGAATTTGACTTGGTTTGATTCCCTCCCCCCATCCAAAAAAAAAAAGAGTAAGATACTTGGCATTTAAAAAAATCAAGCTTTGTGCTTGCTTCGACCTCAAAGAAATGTAAACTGAAATTCAATAGAAAAACATTAGTTTAGTGCAGAATATTTCAACTGGAATATCCAGTGAAATACTGAACAGCTCATACCACCCTCTTTCCAGGGCAGGTGAAAAATTGCACTGGAGCATGGCTCAGAAGCCTGGGTGTAGCTGAAAGTGTCTTAGGCTCCAATTCATTCCTAGTCACCATTTGGGGAAGTCAGAAGTAAAGTTTGTCTACATCAGCAGAGTTGTTTTAGATATCAGGAAGGAAGAAGGTACTAGCAGGAGTGTTTTCAAGGTACAATTATGCAATTACTTTGAGTTCCCAGCATTAGTTGTAGATTGACTATAAAGTCTTCCATGCAAAACAATGGAAAACATCGGGACATGTGTGGACGGCAGACAGGGATGTTCTTCATTGACAAAGCTGTGGTGGGTGAGTTTTGGAAGATAACTTCTTGTCTTTTGGGTTTCCACACATAAGACTTTAACTATGACATGAAAGCTAGTGAAACTGTTCACTGGTGTCAATTTGTAGTTGTTGACTACTTGTTAATGCAACAGAGACTACTTCAGCCCTTTTTAGTTAGTGCTTTTGGAAAAAGAAAGGAAGGGTCTCTGTTAGCATCCTGAAACCTTTTATGATACAGCCCAAAAAAGGAGTGGAAATCACTTACAATGAGAACAAAGAAAACAGGAACCGACACAAACAAAAAAACTGACAAAAACAAAAATCAATAACACACACACATGGAAACAAGTATGTTTCTCAAACACCAGGAAAATAACACTGCTTGTGGTCTGTGCAGAAATGTGTAAATTATGACTTTTCAGAAAGTGAGAGTTTCCAGTTTGTTCAATTTGGTGTGGTGGTGATGGTGGTATGTGTGTGTGTGTGTGTGTGTGTGCATCTGAAGTTTCCTCTTTTTCTATTTGTTAGAAGCATCAGTGACTCTCACTAGCACATTGATTCTTCCTCTAATTTGGTAGATTGCCTTGTTCTGTCATATGAAGCCATGTTTTAAACAATTGGGACATAGTATTGAAAAACTACTACAGGCAAAAACACAAGTTGATTGTCTCCAACAATGCTTTTTGATCGTGAAATATCTGGTTCAACTGTTATCCTGCAAGATAGAGGTTTACTGGAAAAACTCCAACTTCACTATGATCGGATGCAGGGAGGCCCAGTTGAACTTTCCAGAGAAGATTGGGAAGCCCGACGGGTCAGGGGAGTGAGTGTGGGATCCACCAGTGATGAGGGCGGGAACAATTTGTACCATCCAATCACCATGCTGGACAGATCCAGTTCTTCCAGTAAGATTTGAGCCACACCCATAAAGCATTTGTGGTCCATTCTGCCATAGTCTCCCCACACGATCACCTGCAGAGACAGAGCATGCGACATTAATTTGAACTTCTTTCTCTTTTACACTTGGCCAAACAACACCAATGAGGAAGCATAGGTGAGAATCAATAATGTGAAGGTGCTCGGAGATAGTGCACACTCCATCTTCAGTTTGATGGAATGCAAATAATGTTTCCTTAGTCAATAAAGGTATTACGTACATGAGCCATGTTAAAGAAAGAAATACATGCTTTCTTAGATATAAATTCCAGGCCTATTTAATAATCAAGGAAAGGGGCTGTTAGAGATGCAGATTACAGAAACAATCCAAGGCTGGGTGCCATGCAATGCATTTACAGTGCAGTGTGCAAAAGCATGGTGGATACCTTTTGTTTCTTTCATAATCTGACCTTGTTAGTACTGGTTGACACCTTCAGGAGACTTATCTGGAAACTCTGATTGGCTCAGATGGCTAGTAGCACAGTGAATTCACTAAGTTACACCATCTGGGTCAGCTCCATGCCTGGACAAGCCTTCCAGTACATAATTGCCCAAGTTCTACGGTCTAGTCCTGAAGCTTAAAGGTTCTATATGGTCACAGTCAAATGCCTTACACAAGCAGGGCTGGTAAATTCTGCCCTTTCAACTTACTGAATAGTTTTGCTAAATTAAATTACTGAGAAATCATCTTTAAAATGAAGATTATGGTATTCATGCCACGTGATACTTACAAATGTTAAAAGAGGTAGTATACTCAAGCACCCAACTATGTGTCTGGCATTCAGCTAGTGGCTAGTGCCTGTATGATCTCTTAGAACTCACATCCAGTACACAGTAATGATCATTGAACTACTATTAGTTTTGTTTACTTTGATATATCTTTCTCTCTCTCTCTCTAGATATCCATTCATCCTATCCTCTATCCTCTATCTACTCTCTCATCTGTCACATCTGTCTATTATATCTATTATAGATATCTATATCTATGTCTTTATTTATGTATGTATGAAAAATAATGCAAATGTGAGGATGGAGAGAAGGAAAGAACAGGAAGAAAATAATTTCCATTAGAATCATTCTATGTAAATACTATATATGATTACATTCTAAATTAAATTCCCCTGGTTATTTTTTTTACCCAATGATTTAATACTGTTTATTTTTTTGGAATTTGGTTCTCTGTGGTTCACCACCACTTCAATATTGCTATGCATACTACAGATATTACAGCAGAGAAAGACAATCTCTTACTGACCTGAAGAACTTTTCCCTGTGGACTTTCATCAAAAACCAAGGACTGTTGATACAAAGGATCAAGAGTTTTCCGTGCAATTCTTGTCTTCTTTTTGGCTATACAGGCTCCATTTTCCAAAAGATAGACTTTGACATAAGGAGCTAAACCAAGGTATAGACACATATAAGAAATTAATCCTTGAATTCACTTGCTTTATTACAGAATACCTTATCTGAGAATTAAGAGATGCTGTTTGATAATTTCCCGGAAAACTAGAAAAATCATTTTAAGTACCTATTGCTTCCTTAAAACCCATATATATGTATATATATATATGTACACACACACACACACACACACACACACACACACACACACACACACACACACACACACACACACACACCATGTCTGCAACTTTCCTCATTTCAAGAAAATGTGTGGTTACCTGAAATTTCACTTTTGTGGATTACAGTTTGTATTTAAAAGCTCATTCCTTACTTCATATGATTAGATCTAAATCCCTCCATTTTTACTTTTGTACATATAAACACATACAAAAGCAATAACTGACACCAGCTATGAAACAATTATAATTCAAAATTTTAAAACACAGACTTACATTCATTCATGCAATAAGAAATGACAGAAACATTGTTTAAAAAAACCAATTAGAGATACAAAATCAAGCACAGAAAAATCACTTGTCACAAATGTCTCAAATCATCTTCTTTTTCTTTCCTTTTTCCTATTTAATCTTCTCTTGACCAAACTTCCTAATAGATTTCCTTACCAGGTGTAGATTTGGAACCAGGTTTTTGTGTGAGGCTTCGTGCTCTAATAACTTCTACTTCTAACTGGCCCTTTTTATCTTCCATTCCAATTTGTATATCACCTGGGGTGGAGGCAAAGCAAAATATTTCACCTTCTTTTCAGTCAAGAGATATAACAAAAATTAAAATCATCTTAGGGATTGTGATATAAAGAAACTAATATTTAGATAACCTTAGTCCCACTTTTCTGTCCATTTTCAAAACTGACATCGGTTACTTGGAAAAAAATCAACTACCACATTGAAGTAGTCATGTGATTCTCATGCTCTAGTAACATTTCTTGTTTTATGTAATCTTTTTGCTTATTAATAAAAATTGTAATAGTCTGTGTTACAATCATCTAAAGAAAACTACCTATCTTCTACCTCTAATTATCTACTATGTAACTATCCATCTATTCTCTGTATCTTACTATCTATCATCCATCTAGCTATCATTTATTATGTAGATCTGATAATCTATCCATCCATCCATTCCTCTGTGCATCCATCATGAATGGGATCACACACTGTCCTTGTAAGACTATATGTACCAGTGAACGGATATATTTTTTACCCATGTAGCCTGACCTTTGTTGATGAAAACATAGGTTATTTACATCGCTGCAAATATAAAAGCACTAAAACAATTTTACAAGAAATCATACACCTTTGGTTGAACCTTTGCTGAACATTTGTTCCAGATCTTTACATGTTTGGATCTCGTTTTACAGATATTCAAAGTCCCTGTGTGTTCTGCAAACCTTGAAGAAAGACTAGTCTGTGCTGCTGTGGAAACTTCTGGATTGCAACTCTTAGATTTGATAAAGTAGGTCTTGAAAATTCATCTTAAGTTTCGTCACTCTGATGGTTATATTAATCTGATTTTCTTTGATTGTGAAAGAAGTGGAGTCTTTTAAGAACCCAAGTATAATTTGATGTACAACTATATCCACTATTAGAATGAATTGAAGAGATATCTCCCTTTTCATTTTTACCTATTCATTTACTTTTGATGGTAATGGGATTTGAACTTGCTAGGTTAAGAGCTCTGCCACTTGCTCTAGGCTTCCAGACATTTATACCTTAGGTTGTTTTTCAGTGAAAGTATTTTTTTCTAAAATATATTTACCAAGTTTCATTACTTTTTCCTTGATATTTCTTTGTGTATTTCATCCTTTGAAGTTTATTTTCCCCATGAAACTGTATCTTTTAAAGGAGTGTAGAAACTAAGCTTTGTCTGTACCTTTTTTATTCTTGAATGAAAAATTATTGATATTTAACATTTTTATTAAATTGAATTTTTTTTTTGGTCTGTTGTGGGGCCTGAACTCTGGGCCTGGGCCCTGTCCTTCAGCTCAAGGCTAGCGCTCTACCCCTTGAGCGACAGTGCCACTTCCAGCTTTTTCTGCTTATATGGTGCTGAGGAATCTAACCCAGAGCCTCATGCATGCAAGGTAAGCACTCTACCACTGAGCCATCTTCCCGGCCCCTATTAAATTGAATTTTTATCTTTTCTTTCTTGAATAAAATTTGTCTTAATACAGAATTTTCTGCTGGATGCTGGTGGCTCATGCCTGTAATCCTAGCTATTCAGGAAGCTCAGATCTGAGGATCGCAGTTCAAAGCCAGCCCAGACAGGAAAGTCCATGAGACTCTTTTCTCCTATTAACCCCCAGACAACTGGAAGTGAAGCTGTGGCTCAAAATGGTAGCACTAGCCTTGAGCAAGAGAGCTTAGTGCTCAGACCCCAAACTCAAACCCCACAATCGACAAACAAAAAAGAATTTTCAGTAATTTTTGTCTTTAATCAGACAAGAATCATTTATCTTCTAAACACTTTCTTGGGCATTACTAGAAAATAAAAGCTGTTGGTTTATTTCCTTTTTTCCCTTGACAATTTTTCTCTTCCTCATAAATTGAAATGAGGTTCTAGAATTTCTTTAGGAAGTCCTTTTTCCTTGGGTTGAGAGCTGAGTTCAGTGATCATCATCATCTTTACTCTCTCTCTGGTTTTATGTTTTTATAAAATAGTTCAGCCACCATTATTGTTTTTCTAAGAGCTGTATCTGTTCTCCCTTTAGAATCTTACTAGAATAAATTTAATTTTTTTCTTTCTTCTTATAGCTAAAATTCTCCTCTATATCAAAGCATGATGTAAATTGCTTGCTTCTAGTGATTTTTTATGGTCACTCCAGACTTGTTAATTCAGCTTTATGCAGCATAATAATAACTGAGCTTTGTGAAACTGGGCATTGCTTGTTGCATGGGACAACTGTGTTTTCAATGGAATTGTGACATTTTAAAACCTTTTTCTACTTTATTTTCTTAAAGCTACATTCTATTGGTGTGTATGTGTGTACTGGGGCTTGAATTAACCTGGGTGCTGTTCCTTACCTTTTTTGATCAAGGCTAATGCTCGCCAGAGCTCCACTTTCAGCTTTTTAGTGGTTATTTGGAGGTAGAAGTCTCATGGACTTTACTGCCTGGGCAGGTTTCAAGCAAGAATCCTCAGATCTCAGTCTCTTGAGTAGCTAGGATTACAGGTGTGACCTACCTTTATCTTACACTTAGTGTTATCTTTTTTTTAAAAGTTACATTTTTATGTTTATGTCACTTTTATTCTATCCTGATGTTGACTCTTCCATAAGAACAAAAACAGGAGGCACTCTACAACATGGTTTTAAGGACCATAGCAGGCTACAATTCATAAAAACTATATTCAAACCTCGCCACAGCTGTTATTTCCGATTTACATTATCATGCTGGAAATCCCATAATCATCTCTTGTGTGAGGATACTTTTTTTGTTGGATCTCCTTTTTCTCTTTTTTTAAGTCAATGAAGAAGTTTATTTTGGAGAGGCAAATCCTCCTGTGGCTTTTAAGTCAGTGAAGTGCATGTAAAGACAATGCTCTTAGCCAACGGTCGTCCAACCATGAATTCATTCACTCATCCATTCGTTTTGCAGGTACTAGGACTTGCATTCAGGACCTGAGTGCTGTCCCTTAACTTTATCCTTCAATGTTGGTGCTCTACCACTTGAGCCACACCTTCACTTCTGCCTTCTTTGGTGGTTAATTGCATGCACTTGTCTTTTCCTAGTGGTGAATCTCAATCCTCTCATTTCAGCTTCTTGAGTACCGGGGCTGTAGGAATCAGTCAGCACCAGGCTTCCGAATTTGTATTTACTGCAGCCTCACACTTACTTGATTATTTAGCTGGCTATTCTACATCAAGTTGAAAATTGCTTGCTATTCCAAGTTTTGAAGGCAATTTTTGCTTTCTGCCTGTCAGTATTATTACTCAAGTTCAATGTGAATCTGTCTTTGTTCATTTATTTGTTTATTTGAGACAAGGTCTCACTCTGTTGCCAAATTCATTCTGCTGCCAAATTCACTCCAGTGACCTCAGATTCACTATGTAATTCAAGATGGCCTTGGAATTATGTAGTACTGAGATTACTGGCCTGAACTACCACGCTCAATGTAAATCGGACTTTGCTAATTTTATACACTTAGTTTTTTCTTAGAAGATTTCTTTGATTTTTTCTATTGATCTCCATCACTGTAAAATTCCATGATGTTATATATCTTTTGTCATCTACTTCCATTCATTTTTGTGGGTTTACTATGATTTCTTTGCAGGTGTAATTTCATGATGTTATATATCTTTTGTTATCTACTTCCATTCATTTTTGTGGGTTTACTATTATTTCTTTGCAGGTGTTGCCCAGGCTACATATAATTTTCTCTATTTCTCCTCTTCCTTTTAACTTCATTTAAGTTATTTCCTGTCAATATGTTGAATGTCCCTTACCCAAAATACCCATGGTGCTTCAGATTTCATATACATTCAGATTTGGAAATATTTGTAAATACATAATGAGGTCTATTGGGGATAAGATCCAAATGTTAACATAAAATAAATATACTTAAGTTGTTCCTGAGTCTGCATTTTGACATGAGATGAGGTGTAGAATTCTCTATGGTGACATTTTGCAAGTTCTACAATTTGGAGGACTGTAGATTTGAGATTTTCAGAGGAGGGGAGCTCAGCCAATAGATGTTGGCTTGGTTCTTTCTACTTTCTTTCCCACTTTAAGAAACATGAACAGACTTCCAGCATTTCTAAACTTCCTTTCTCCCCCCTCTTCTTTGATTTTCAGCTGATTCTGAAATATTATATGCTTATCTTCTTATAGATTGTGAAGAAGGCAATTTAATTCACTTATGAACAGTAAACAATTGTACCAAGACCCTACTTTGTGGGGTCCAGCTTTCCTTCCATGGTGTGAAATCTAATTATGTATCTACATTTGCATTGAGTGCAGACTGTCTTAACAAGGTTATCTAGCAGTTCAAATGGCAACTGAAAGATTTATGGCTAATTGTACTTATTTTGCATAATGTCTCATGTAAGAAAAATGTACTAGAAATTCAGATAGAGTTCTATAGCCAGCAATAACCTATTCAGAATATTGCTTCTCCTAGGCATGACAACTGTGCTGTATCAAATGGCCTTGATAATCAGGAACCCCCTGTTGGCTGAGAAATGACCCTTACCCATCGCAGGGGTGGCGAGGGTTTGGCGTCCAACCAGCTGGGCGGGACCCAGTCCATCAAGAAAATCGCTGAACTGGCTGTCAGCACCCAGTCGCACTCCAGGAAATATTAAGCTATTAGCAACAGGATAAAAGACAAAAGAGGAAACATTATATCTATGATCTCTCTCTCTCTCTTTCTCTCTCTCTCTCAGCTTGAAATCTGGGCTTGGGCACTGTCCCTTAGCTTTTCAGCTCAAGGCTAGTGCTCTACCACTTTAAGCCACAGCACCACTTCCGGTATTCTGGAGGTTTATTGGAGCTAAGAGTCTCATGGATTTTTCTGCCTACGCTGGCTTTGAACTGTCATCCTCAGATCTCAGTTTCCTGAGTAGCTAGGATTACAGGCATGAACCACCAACCAATGCCTGGCTTGATTTCTTTTTCTTCAGGTACCCAGAAGTTTTTCTCTCCCATGTGATCTGCAACACTCTTTGCTAGTTTCCTCTTGACTAATTCTGATCATAAAACATGAAACTACTTAGGACAAGTATCTTAGCATGTCACTGATTGAGAAAGGTCTGTCATCTCAGCTCGAGATGTAGTGTTCCATTCAGAAGGGCTCAGATGTTTTTAATGTTCTAAGTGCTCTGGACCCTTTATCCCACATTCTTACTAAATACATTGTGGATACAAAATACAAGACAATAATTTGAGTATTATCACCTTTATCTAACTTCTCAAAAACAAAGTGACATGAATGCAGAAAAGCCACTAGTAATATTTTGAATACTATTGTAGTATTGTATTAATTCTTATTCACAAATGAAATATTCATGTGACTCAGTTTTGAATGAATTAGTGTTTGAGTAATTTGAGGCTTATTTGTCCAAATAAAAATTCAATTGTTAGATCATCTCTATTTCTTACTAATCTGTGATTTATTGAACGCATTTATATGTAGACTGCAGAAGAGCAATGACATGTTCTTAGTGTTTACTGATGTAATTGTCTCTGGTTAATGAGCCCAATGTTGGTTAAACAGTTGGCATTTGATAAGTCTTTTGATAAAACCATATTTATCCCACATAACAATATTTGCTATATAACTTTTTATTCATATAACAATATTTGCCATATAAGTGTGAATGTTATTGTTATGGACAATTAAATTGATTATGAATGTACAGATTTTCATCGTTCTTCTGATTTCCATCAGTAGTTTAGTAACAACTGTTTCTATTGTGCTTTCACAAATTATTTTGCCCACAAATAAAGAGGAAGTACATGGTACAACTTTTTTTTTTTTTTCTGTCGTAGGGGCTGAACTCTGGGCCTGGGTGCTGGCCTTGAGCTCTTCAGCTCAAGGCTAGCACCCTACCACTTGAGCCTCAGCCCCACTTCCGGCTTTTTTCTCTGCTTATGTGGAGCTGAGGAATCGAACCCAGGGCCTCATGCATGCAAGGCAAGCACCCTACCACTGAGCCAACTTCCCAGCCAGATACTCATGTTTTTATCCCTTCCAGAGACTAAGGAAATAGATATGGAAGAGCTGAAATGGCTTAGGCAGGGCAGAGAGGAGTTTTATTTGACTTGTTTTTGTATCAGGAAATAATGTCTCGTCTTTGGTTGCACACGGCACTCTAATGCCTCATCAAACTTTGCAGTAATTTATCTCATTCACTTTACATGCATTCATTTTTTTGTCTTAGGTTGTGTTTTGTTATGTTCTTATTTCCCAAATTTTTGATCAGATAAGCTAGGACCAACTCAGGAGTGGGACAAATATCATCATATATATTAACTCAGCATAATTTTCTTTTAATTTTTAAGCAGTATCAAAAATGCCAGTCAAAGAAAAGAAAGTACAAGTACTAGTTTGGCTTACAAATGATTCAGATATTCATAGAAAATTTATTAGGAAGACTCTGTGTACAGTCATTCTTCACCTAATCTACCACAGTGTAGTAATCGCTACTTCTGATTTTCTAGTAAAAAGTTTTACCAGAAAAATTCTTAGCGTAGGAAAATGCAGATTTTGTGTGGGATCCATATAAAAAGATAGAATAAGTTAATCAAACAAAAAATATTCAGTTATATTTTTCAGAATTAACTAATTTTGATAATAATTATCATTAATCATAAAAAATGATATACAGAGATCCTGGTTTTCCCTCCAATACCCGGAGGTAACAGTAAGTGTTATTTTGAAAACTGTACAATGTATGAGTATGTTAGGCTTACAATAACTTAGAGCCCAAAGCAGTTTAAAGTAGAAAAATCAGGCATTAATTTCTTATTCTGTGTGTGTGTGTGTGTGTACGTGCGCACACACGCACACACTGGTACCAGTAATGGAGTGCTCTTGTTAAGCTGTTTTTCTCAAGACCGGCATGCTAACTCCTGAGCCACAGCTCCACTTCTGGCTTTCTGTTGGTTAATTGGAGTTAAAAGTCTTAGACTTTTGTCCCCAGGCTGGCTTCAAACCAGGATCCTCAGATCTCAGCCTCTTGAGAGCTAGGATTCCAGGAATGAGGCACTGGAACCTGGCTGTATTTCTCACTTTTAATTTTGAATTGAGATTTTCACAGCAGGGTCAGAGTGTCCCATCTGGACAGAATTCATTAAAGGTGGCTTCCCTAGCTTCTCTTCAAGGCAGGATAATTTTGAGCTGTACTGACTGATGGAAATCTATATGAGCTCTGCATTTCTTTATCTCTCTGGCTGGTTTGAGTGGTAGGTGCTCAGGTGTATCCTGAGGGACAAAGTGGATGCACAGTAGCCTTCTGGGACTTTGCTGTCTTGTTCATTGCTATCCCATCCCTGGCCTGAGGGCCACTGGCATCACTTACTTTCCCTCTGAGCTGTAGCTGTTGATGCTGCCATCAGTAGACTCCCGGCTTGGCTGTCTCACCATCTTCCTCATTTCCGCTGCCATGCCCGTTTCTGTGCTTCTCTGAATGGTGCTTTTTAACTTCTTGTGTCCTGACTCTGACAAGAGATAGGAAAAAGAAACCCTGAGTTTTATTTAGAGTTTTTCTCCAGGTAGTGATCGGTTCTGCAAACACAATAGTTAATTTTCATTGTAATTAAAATTTTAATCAGAAACCTAAGTGTTGGCTGATCATGCCTGCCATTCTAGCTAATCTTAAGGCTGCAATCTGAGGATCTTGATATGAAGCCAGCCTGGGCAAGAAAGTCCATAAGACTCTTATCTCCAAGTAACCTGCAAAAAGCCAAAAATAAGAGATGTGGCTGAAGTGGTCAAGCACTAGTCTTGAGTAGAAAAGCTAAAGGACAATGTCCAGGCCCTGAGTTCAAGCTCTAGGACTGGACTAAAAATTTTATTAATCAGAAAAATCAGCACTTACAATAATGATATGCAAAATGTAAGGTGAGATTTACCAACTGCTGAGGTGAGATTTACCAACTTGGTAGAAGACATAACCCGGCTAAAGTTTCAGATGTTACAGAATCTCTGTGAATAAAATGAACTTGCTCTATTAGTGCTGCTTGATGACAATGAAAATTTGGACTTCACATTGAACTGTTACATGGAAGGATAATATTGAATAACTTAGGTTTTTTCTAACCTGGAATTTTCTAAATTTGTGGAGCTGAACCTGCAGGGCTGGGGATCCCAAAGGTGACCCTGAAATGTCCAAGAAACCATTGGGCACACGATGGAAATACATATGCTTTTTCTCAGATTTGTCATCTGTTGTCAACAGCCATTTGTCTGAATTGATAATTTTCTATGGAGTATGATTATGTTATAAATATTGAAGTTGCCTCTTGCAGAAAAAGGTTCCCATGTTTGAGTGGATCCCTCTTTTAAAAAGCAGAGTCTCTTGCAAGTATGAGGAATACCACTATTTTGTGCTGTTAGGCAATCCCCATTAGGAGAAATAATAATTTTTTCTGGTGACTTTACAACACTATTTTTTTTTTGGTACTGGGGATAGAACCCAGGATGCTGAACTTCCTGGGCAAGCACTTTGCCACTGAGCTACATCCCAGCCCTTTAAAACACTTAACATGCTCACGCTTCTATAAGATGGCATACATGATATCTAATTTGCTAGAATGAATATTACCTTAATTTTAAGGCAACACAAGTGTCTCATGGCCTTTTGATACAGCTGCATGATGTCTGATGGGCAGTTTGAAGCTGAGCTCACTTTCAGTAGGAATTACACTGGCTGATCATTAAGACCTAGTTTTTTCTTTCTTTTTTTTTCTCTCCAATCCTGGTGCTTGAACTCAGGGCCTGGGCACTGTCCCTGAGCCTTTCTGTGTTGAAGGCTAGCACTTTACCATTTGAACCACAATGTCACTTCCAGCTTTTTTTTGTGGTACTGAGGAATCAAACACAGGGCTTCATGCATGCTAGGCAAGCACTCACCCACGGAGCCACATTCCTAGTCTTTAATTTCCAGTTTTTAAGATGGGTCATTACATAACTTAGGATGGTGAGGTCCTCATTACATAGCCCAGGCTGGCTTTGAAATTCTAGTCTTCCTGCCTCAGCCTTCCAAGTGCTGTGATTACAGGCACATGTGACCTACCTAGGGCATTTCAGTTTTTCTTAAGCTCAAAGTTAAGAGCAACTTCATGAGCCCCTGTGGAATGGAACAACCAGCCTTCTAATCTTAGCATGGATACCAACTCTAAAACCTTTATTTAATGGATGGACCTAGAAATCAACATGCGAAGTGAAATAAGCCATGGAGAATGACAAACATTGTTGGTTCTCATTCAGATGTGGAATCCAGTCCTTAAAAATATACAGAAATGTAAAATTAGTTCTGCTTTTTTTTTTGGAGGGCTGGGGTGGGATGGAGTGGGAAGGTTACCAGCAGAAGCAGGATGGTGAAAGGAGAAGGTATGAAGGTGAATATAGTCAGTGTTTTACATATATATATATATATATATATATATATATGTCTGAAAATAGAACAATGAACCTATTGAACTAGATCCAAAAAGAGGGAAGAATATAAAGGATCAGTATGATTGGAGTATACTGTACCCACAAAGAAAATATTGCAATGAAACCTCTCTATATAATTAATATAAGCTAATAAAATGGATAAAAGTAAATTAAAAATGTGAAGTAAAAAATAACTATGTATATATAATCAGTTTCAATAAGTGGAGACAGAGAAGTCTTTTTATATAAGTAATACATAACAAAAGATGAACAAAACCAAGACAAAATGTGAAATTAAGTAAATATAACCTTAATTTTTAAGATGTTACATATATAAACTATATACATATAGATGTATATAGTAGCAAGTAGCCGTTTTCCATCTACACATTTTATATACATTTTTGCTGTATATTGCACATAATTACTTAATACCCACAAATAATATATGAGAAAATACATCTACATAGATAACCTTTCCACACATAATTCCCCTGTAAAATGCAGGTGATTAAATATACTCTTGATGAGCCATCTGAAAGTATTTCTTCCTTTATTTTTAGCCCCTATAAGTCCTTTGGAAATGGCCGAATCAAGTATGTAAGAGTCAATGCTCATTCCTCCATATTCTTTTTATAGGTTTATTTGATTTTTAATTGTTTTTTATTGCTCTTAAACTTTCCATGGCTAGTGTGTGTGTGTGTGTGTGTGTGTGTGTGTGCGTGTGCACGCGCACAGGCAGGCATTCGCTGTTACTGGGGCTTGAACTCAGTGCCTCATGCTTTTGCTTGGCTTTTTCTGCTCAAGGCTCAAGGTGCTTTAGCACTTGAGACATATCACCACTTCTGGCTTTTTGTTGCTTAATTAGAGATAAGATTATGGCTTCCAACCATCTCAGTCTCCCAACTAGCAAGGATTTCAGGTGTGAGGGCCTCCATAGCTATTTTTTTTGGGGGGGTCCAATCGTGGGGCCTGAACTCTGGGCCTGGGCACTGTCCCTCAGCTCTTCAGCTCAAGGCTAGCGCTCTACCACTTGAGCCACAGCGTCACTACCGGCTTTTTTCTTTTTGCTTATGTGGTGCTGAGGAATCGAACCCAGGGCCTCAGGCATGCAAGGCAAGCGCTCTGCCACTGAGCCACCTTCCCAGCCCCTCCATAGCTATTCTTATTTCCCAAGCAATATTATAAACTTTTCCAATAGAGAAATAGGACACATTGAATAGCCCCTACAGTTTCTTCCCCCTAAAAGAAAGATGATAATCAATAACTTGAGAGTGATGCTGTCTTTGCATCCACACTTGTTTATCCACCTGGCTTCTGTAATCACACTCCTCCTTTCTCCTTTCCCCAGTGCTTGCTTCTCCTTAGTTTTTTTATTGAAATGTGTTCCTGTTCAGAACTCTCTGATGAGGGGACTCTATGGGTTTGGTTGTCTGGCATTTTCATACTTTTTCTATCATTTCTATGACTTTAGCTGATGCTTTTTGGGCTCCCAGATATGTGCCATTTCCAATCCCAGTGTTTCTGGAAAATGACAATCATAATCCAACTGTCATTTCCTCCATTTAGAGCTCTAGCAGACATTTCAACAGTAACACATCCAAAAGAAAACTGTGTTCTCTATCTCCATCACTACCTACTCAAGTGCTCAGGCTTAAGTCCCAGGGATCACCCTTGACTCCTCCTTCCAACACACCTACCTGTGATGCAAAGGATGCTTGACTTCCTATTCACAATACCACACCCACCTGACCATTCTTCCTCCTTCCACTGCTCCAGGCCCACTTCAAGCCACTACTAGCACTTAACAGCTACACTATTCACCAAACAGATCTGCAACTTCTGTTCTTTACCTCCTCAGAATATTCTCTAAGAGCCATGATAGTTCTCAAAAGATGCACGTGATCACATCACACCCTTGTAATCAATCAGCTTAATTAAGGAAATCCAAAATTGTCAGCATGGCCCATAAAATGCTGCATACATGCTATGGTGCCTGGGTACCTCTCAGATCTCACCGTGATTCCCTCATTCCAGATCATTACTCTCTGTTCACATTGTCAGGTTTGTAACTCCTTCAACACTTCAAACACATCTTTGTACAGCCCTTTAAACTTTCTGACTATCCCTTTGGATCTTCCTGTCCTGTTCCCTTACTTCCTTCAAATCTCTGCTCCTGCGTCCCCTCTTCTGAGTAGATTTTTCGATCCTCCTCACTCCCTTTACCACTTTGCTATGATTTGTTCTTTTCACAGTACTGATTCTTCAACCCTTCATCTGTCTGTTGTCAGTTCCCAAGTGAGAATTTAATTTCTAGGTAGGCATGTACAGTGAGCAGTATTCATTTCTATCCTTGATATCTAGAAGAACCAGTTATAAACATGACAATGAGATCACATCAGGTTACGGTGCCATTTTCTCATTCAACATAATAATAAATATTTCTACATTTATTTTTCCAAGGCTGCATTACTCCATTACATGATGATGTGCTTTCAAAATTAAATTAAATTATTTGAATGTGTTATGGGAAAAATTTTACAGAATAAATGATTGGAAGTTGATATGTTAAGTGAATGGGCAAGAAATTAATCTTCATGAATTGCCAATAAAAGTCAATGTAGACACTTACAGTCCTACCAACATTTGTATGTATGTTCCAAGTTTCCCAGTTGAAACCCAAGACTTCTCTTCCTTTTTCTCTTTTGGTCTCTGATTTGCCCACATGACTTTTAGCATAGGGCATGTATACTTACGGAAAGCATGGATTTCTGTTATGGCCCTTCTAAATATTTCTTGGCTTAGTTTTGGCATTTATTCGTTTGTATACTATGCCTTTCTTAGAAGCAGTTCAGTTTATAGTAGAGCAACATTTCTTCCACAGCTATGTGCTGATAAGATCCCATGGGAGGGACAGAGGCAGGTCCCATTGGTACAAATGATGCCTAATGCAAAACTCAAAAGCTGAAATGCTTTCAATCCCAAAAGTTTTTGAGTGCTGGCCGATGTCACACATGAAAAATTCAACAGCTGACATCATGTTGCTGTCAAAATACAG